TGAATCTTTTCCCTGGGAATCTTGTGACTTAGGCTTCATCTCTGAGACTGGTTTTATCTTTCTCTTCACTTTTTTCCCTGAGTACAGTCATTCAATTCTTATTTCATTATGTCTATTTCTTCAACCATTTCTGTCCTTTGTTTTAATGATTTATTTATTTATGTATTTGAGAGAGAGAGAGAGCACGAGCGGGGGAGGAGCAGAGGGAGAAGCAGACTCCCCGCTGAGCATGGAGCCCCATGCTGGGCTCAATGCCAGAACCCTGAGATCATGACCTGAGCCAAAATCAAGAGTCAGACAGTTAAACGACTGAGCCACCCAGGTGCCCCTATCCTTTGTTGTTGTTGTTGTTTTAAGATTTTATTTATTTATTTGACAGAGAGAGAGTGAGCACAAGTAGGGGGAGGGGCAGGCAGAGGGAGAAGCAGGCTCCTCGCTGAGCAGGGATTTCGACACGGAACTCGATCCCAGGCCCCTGGGATCATGACCTGAGCCAAAGGCAGATGCTTAACTGAGTGAGCCACCCAGGCGCCCCAGCAGCACTTTCTTAATAGCCAAAAAGTGAAAATAGCCCAAATGTTCATCAGCTGTTGACTTGGTAAATAAAACGTGGTATAGTCATCCAATGGAATGCTATGCAGCCATGCAATGGAATAACATTTGTGAACCTTGGAAACAGTATGCTGAGTGAAAGGAAGCCAGTCCTCTCAGAAGACCACATACTGTATGATTGCATTTGTATGGAATGGCTAGAATAACAAGTCTTTAGAGACAGAAAATAGATTAGTGGTGGTTGCCCAGAGCTTGGGGAGATGGTAAGACTGGGGGTGACAGCAAGGGGTGCAGGATTTCTTTTTGGGGTGATGAAAATATTCTAAAATTAATTGAGACAATGATTGTGCAAATATGGGCCTACGCTAAGCACCGCTTTAAATGGGAGAATTGTATGGTCTGGAATTATAGCTCGATAAAGGTGTTAGAAAAGAAGCCCTAAAGAAGATTTTAGCAAAATAAATCCAGCACTATGAAAAGCTGAGAATATACACAAATAAGTTGAACTTATCCCAGGTATACAAAGTGGGTTTAACATCTCAGATTCTGTTCTTGGACATCTCCGTAAAGATGGCAGATTGACCACAGGCTTCTGTTTTCCCTCCATCCCAAAACAGCCTCTAAAATGCCAGTAAAGGGATTTGTTAAAGGCATAAACCCGTAAGGGCGTAGAGAATTAAAGAAGATAATAGCAGTGATACTGGAAAGTGGAAAGCAGATGGATGTGTGGTAAATGACTTATCAGACCCAAGAATACACCTAAATACACCGGGGTAGGGGGGTAGGCAGAATATATTACAGAATTCCAAAAGGTTCAGGACTTGTCCGTGGCACATAGTTCTGGAAGTGGGGCTGAAGGGAAAGGAAAAGAAGAGGTAGTGGTCCAAAGTCCGCCTAAGCAGCAGGTAAATCTCAAAATGCCCCTCCCTCACTGCATGGTGGTGGACCTCTATGACTTCCCGTCTCTACAGAAAAGTTGAAGTGTAGTCTCTGGAGAGAGTAAAACAAGGGTTCTCTGGACTGGTGGGGGTAGACATTAGACCCATATGACCAAGAATACTATACTAAACACGAGGTGATGAGGTAAATATGCCTAATGGATATGAGAACCATTCCCGAACCTTTTCCCTAGCCCCTCTTTTCCACAATGTTGACAATCAGACCTTTCTAGTTGAGTCCTGGAGATCGGAAGATAGTTCTCTGGGCTATTTGAGCAGCCCGAGGAAGACCTAGGTCCTGACATTGAGGGTTACCCAAGAAAACCATCCAGTAAGATCCCCCTGAAGTGAACCCCGCAGTTGAGAAGTACCACCAATGTACTCAAAGCTTCCAGTCAACTTTAGGGTCTCTGGATTTTAAATATGAGCAGACAGCCAATGATTTCATCAGACCTTTCTGGAAAGCTCTGGCATGAAGGGTAGAGACCAAAACAGATCAGAGGAAACAAAAACTGTGCCAGAAGGGGAAACGTTTTTTAAAAATCTATTATTACCTTTTTTTTAAGCTTTAAGTTTAATTCCAGTTAGTTAACATACAGTGTTATATTGGTTTTTCAGAGTACAATATAGCGATTCAAACTTCCCTACAATACCCTGTGTTCATTGCAACAAGTGCACTCCTTAATATTTTCTGAGAGATGAGCCATAACAACTATAAATTAAAAGAATCTTTTAAGTCAGTCAAGACATTAATATATTAAAGGGAAAAATGACGTGATTATCTCAGATGCAGAACAAGTATTTGATAGAACTCAACATCTATTCACATATGGGAACTTAATATGTGACTAGAGGTTGCATCACAGGAGAAAGGATGGCTATCCATGTGGGGTAAAAACAACAAAAAAGGAATGGATTGTATCCCTATTTCTTTTCTTTTTTTTTTTAAAGATTTTATTTATTTATTTGACAGAGACACAACGAGAGAGGGAACACAAGCAGGGGCAGTGGGAGAGGGAGAAGCAGGCTTCCCGCCGAGCAGGGAGCCCGATGTGGGGCTCGATCCCAGGACCCTGGGATCATGACCTGAGCCGAAGGCAGTCGCT